TCTCGTCTGACCATGGGGTTCTAGTGAAAGGCCAAGAGCTTGCGGAGAGGGCAAGACGGCCGAAAACCAAGCAGCCCCGCTTGACGCTGGATGAAATTCGGGAGAGGGCCAGGTCAGCTTCGAAAACACAGTCGCCTGAGGCCCAGAGCCACGATAGCGACGACCAAGAGTTTCAACCGCCTACCCCACGTTCTCAAGACCAAGAGTTCGATGATGAGGAACAAGATGAGCCCGAGTTCCAGCTGCCTGGATCATCGCCTCCTCCACAGGACGCAGACGAAACCCAGCAAGAATTCGAAGCCGAAGAGGACGACGACGAGGGCTTGGAATACGTCGACGAGCCCCAAGCACCCATCGTCGAGCTCGACTTCTCCTTTGACGCGCAGCAGGCACCGGGAGCTTTCGACACCATGACACAGCAGGACGAGGATGCAGCAACGCAAGGCCCCATAGCTCCTGCTCATCCCATACCCGAAGAAGAGGAAGAGTCCACACAGGATTTGCTTGCTGAGCTCGAGGTCCTTGAGGCTATTAGCCAACCTGGATCCCCCTCCCCTGAGCCTCCGCCGAGGGCAGAAGCAACTTCCAAGTCTGCTCATTCAATGCCGCCGCCCGTGTCAAGTAAGCCGCTCTCTTCACAAGATGCAATGGACCAGGATGCAAACGTGAGTTTGTTCTTTCCTTCGAGCTCACAGGGCGTAATAATGACATTGGTGTTGAACCCTTTCAGGTTTCGATGGTTCCGCAACCTGGAACACAACTCTCACAGGCGGTGGTCCCTGACCTTGCACCTCCACTGCCCCCTGTTCGTGCTCGACATCCTTCGAAGGAACCGGTTGCGTCAGAACAAGCGGTACAAGGCTCTTCCCAAGAGATTCCAGCCACATCTTCGACAACTAATCAGGATTCTCAAGAGACGAATGGCAGCGCGAAATCAGCTGTAAGTTCTTGTTGTGATATCTGACCTCCACCCCCAAACTCATTTTGGTTATAGCCAAATCCGAGTCAACTCGAAGAGCTCAAGAGAGCTCTGGCACTCCTCAATGTCAAGTCAGAGGAGATCGCTCAGCTCGAGAAATCGCTAGCGGACCAGAAGCTCAAAGTACACGAGATGACTGGGCGCTTCGACGCTTCGACCCAAGAATGGACAGCACGACTGGAAACGGATCTCCTCCAGCTCAAAGTCCAACACGATTCCGACCTGGAGCGTCTGAAGAACGAGCATGCTGCAGAGCGAGCGACATGGGCGGAGGAGAAATACCAACTGGAGATTGCCGTTCAGAGTGCAGGAGACCGGAAAGCGTTGGCGGAAAGGGACTGTGAGCGCTTCAGGGACGAGTACATGCGGGCCTCGGGTACCGTTGGTCAGCTCAGGGCTGAAAAGCACGACCTGGAGAAAGAGTTGGGCATTGCGCAGGCTCAAGCCAAATCCGGTGTTCTGGCTGTTCGTGCCCTGTTCGAAGGACGCGTCGAGGATCTAACGAAGCAAAGAGATTCATGGCAACGCACGGCCGAATTCATCATCGAAAAGGACCGCCGGACGAACGACGATATCCGAAAGAGGGCAGCGGAGGAGCCGGAGCTGAGGGCAAAATACCAACGGTATCGAATACGGAGCCGCGAACTTGAGGTCAAGGTCGAGGACGGGGACGAGGAGATCAGGATCCTACGGGAGGAGGTTAACAGGGAAAAGCAGGAGAATGAGAGACTGCGACAGGCATTGAGGGCCCTTGAAGGCGACGGCGCTGCTCCCCTTCAAGCCCCTCCCATTAGCCGTCACAATAGTGCAGCCGCGTCAACTCTAACAGTGAATCGACCGGGTGAGAAAGCATCCCCTCTGATCTTCTGCGCAAGCACTTATTGACGGGTTTGCAGTCGTCAGCGAAAGCAGACTGACAGAACACACTTCTCCGCAAGCGTCGTCGGGCAATGAAGAGGAAGACAACGATGACGACGACGACGATGACGATTCAGAGTTCGACGACGACGCTCAGGTGTATCGCTGTCAATGGCGATCGAGGGCGGCTCATGGCCATTTCTGCAATCGCCTTTTTGCAACGCTGGACGTGCGTAACATCCTTTCACCCTCTTTGACGTGCTTCTGATTGTGTTTTCCGCATTCAGGAGTTGCGGGCACATATGAGCTCAGCACGAGACCACCTCCCTCCCTCACCGCACATCGATGGCTTAGACTAAGATGTATAGGTGTTGGCGTGGCGTGGGTTCCTTGGATTACGGCTTATTTGTCTCTCTCGCCAGTTTTGCTTCACCCTTTGCAACTGCTTTGCTCGCTGCTGGAGACCCTGTCAATGATGACTGTTTCCGTTTAATACCGTGCATTGAACATGTATGATGGTTTTGTCTCTTTCAACACCACCATTCTCTTCCGCTTCTGGACTCGTGTGGTTCTGTTCTCTCCCCCTTTGTTGTCGGACCGCCTGAATTGCTATCTACGTAACTGCACTGTTACTATTGATTTCGCTCAAGTTTGCTCTCTCAAGTGACCACCGGGACTACTCTTTCAGACCCAATGTGAGATCCCGACCAGCTCTTTTTGACGTCAAGCGTCACAGCCTTCAGCATTTCCTGGAGACTTGGAGGTAGAGTAAGGCATGGAATCCGGTTGTGGGGGCCTGGACAGCGGCATACTCTCCAGGCACCTGAAGTCTCGTCGCAGTTCAAGCACCAAGGGAGCGACTTGGGGGTCTGTTTCCTCAGATAACCGGTTAAATCGCAATTTCTGCACTGGGCGGCCACCAGTGCTAATCTAGAAAACCAGTGTTTGGAATTCACTGTTTCGGGTTGGAGAGTGACTTTGATCAGTACCCCTGAGTGTACCGGCCCCGATTCTGTTCCCAACGAGTTCAACCAGCGCCACCCGCCACGACCACCCGCCACCAAAACTTTGCTATCGCCATCATGCAGACGGCTCTTTGACAAACCAGGACTCCTTTAAATATGCTCGAGCCCATTTTTAGCCCTAGGAAACCATAGTACCCAGCAGCGGATCCAAAGCAAAATCTTGAAAAAATCCAGCAGTCATCGAATGACACCCCTGGGTCTCGCCTCTCGCCTAGCTAACGGAAGATTCGTAAAATCTAGCGTTTTGGGATTACTTCTTCACTGCTGCATGTGAGCCACCGAGAGAATATAGAACACCGTTCTGACATAAACACGAGCATGTGTCGGGTTCTTTCCTCGTGTGCTTCCAATTCCTGACAGGCGTTTGGAAGCCTTGAGCGGCGCAGTCGCATTAACCCCTCAGGTGAGCTCACAGAGACGTCCTCTCGCAGACTTGAATTGAACTTTAAGGGCTGGGCCTTCCTCAATAATAGTTGCTTGTCACGACAACGTTCCTGACCACATGGTTTTCCCCAGGTTTTGATTGCCAGACCACAAGGCAACGTATTTGCTTTCTGCGGCCGTTCCAATTACCTACTGCAGAAGGAACTTGAAGAAGACTTGAGGGTGGTTCTCGGGGGCCGTCGGGCTCCCTCAAGAGCTCCCAGGTCTCCCATTCCCTCCATAGTCTTGTCGTGGATCGACATGGGAGTTATGTATTGTCAGGCCCGTGATACTCTCGCTGACGTCTGACACTACATTGTCATTCTCAGAAGATGCATATCTTGACCGAGGTGAGGGAGGGCGCGTGATCCATGTGCCACATGCATGAGCTCATCTGGCATGGTCGGACCACCACAGGCACTACAACGAATCTCGATCGGCGTTGTGCGCTAGCGAAAGGAAGTAAAAGGCCCCTCCATCCTTACGCTACTTTGGCTCACGCCATGCCGCCTGCTTCCACGGTCTTACTCCAATAGGCCGACGCCAATCTGGCTTACTGGCCTTCTTAAGGAAGGCGGGGTACAACAGTAACACGGAAAGGTTCTTTCCCCACAAACCGCCCTCCCCTATCATACCCTGGTGAATACTTGTGGCGACGACAAACAAGGGCTATGTCTGTTGCATACAATTCCTCCACTCCCCTCCTGAAGGCTCGCCTGGCGTCCCTCAACCTAACGTCTGCGCTCGCAACTGTTGCGGCTTGCCTCGGTTCGCATTTTGCTCTACGTCTTTTGCTCAATCACCAACTTGAACCAACTACCAGGACTCAACGCTCTCATTCGGAGTAATCAGCTTAAAAGCAGTTTCAAGAGCAAAGCACCCCCTCCCACTCGTGTTGAGATTGACACAGAAGGTGCGTTGGGTCAGATCGGAACGGCTTCTTCTCAGTGCTAATTCTAGCACCACGCAGCCATCCTAAACACTGGTATCGTTGCTACGGTCGGATGCATCCTCCTCGCTGGCTTCTGCTTCATTTTCGCTTCCATGACCCTCATCCCTAAATTCCGCCGGATCGCCAACAAGACCCTCAAAGTGCAAGCCGGCCTCATCGCCTTTTCTGCGATATGGATCTTTGCATGCATGGTTCCATATATGAAGTACTACCTGAACGATAGCGCCGGCGTGAAGGCCTTCATTGGCAGCACCCAGCTACCTGATTCGCTGGTCAAGTCGTTGCAGGAGAAGAGCGGATCATCGAGCGTCTACAAGGACATGTGGTTCCGTGAGTCCATTTTAATGCTCGTGTTGTTTATGCAATGCATTCTAATCGGTGCATTGACCCTGCTTAGTTCGTCCATTTGCCATACTCCCGTGGATCTCTATCGCTTCTGCTCTCGCGACCATCCCCATTCTCCTTCGGGCGGCGAAGGCCCTCAAATCAGTACCGTCAGACCGAACGTCCGACGCAACGTCAGACACTGACAGGCAGATGGTGGAGAAGGTTGAGGCCTGATGAACGATATACATACCTGATGACGAGACGAAATTTCAAGTTCATAATGTAACTTTAGTCAACTTTTCAGCACTGCTCTTGCTGTTCCAAGAGGGTGCCTGAGTTATCCTTGTAGCATGGACACCATTCGGGTACGAAGTATTGCTATGATTTATGCAAGTTCTAATGAGCTAGAAACTGCAAATTTCGTTGTTGAAGCATGTCTCTGTTCGTATATCGGTTAGTACACGCGCCTGTCATTGGACTCCAGTGTCGCGCGAAAGCTGGGTTCGATTCCCAGACAGAGAGCTTTTTTATCTACTGTGACCTGCTTCGAGATGTTTTCGCCTTTATAACGTCTTATATATTGCGTCGTATCAGCCCTGAGCGGTATGAACTTAGATTACATCGAATACCGTTTCCGCACTCATCGACGCCGTAGCAGCTCAGACACGGCTAGCTACCCAGCTAGCTGCGGGTGCAAAGGACTAAGGGACAAGAAGCAGAAGGTCAACTCAAGACAGCCTTGACTTCCAATAACGAGCGAACTCACCGATTTATAGTTCTCGTGGGCTGCTGTGACGATGGGGAGGCCATCACATATCTTATCTCCCGCGTTACAAAAGGTACGGCGCCTGTTCTGCAGTGTTCCAGGGAGCGCCTTGCCTCTGTTTGGATCGCCAAACGTCACAGCAGAAACTTTGTTGCGGACCGCAGTACTGAGCTTTGCGGCTGCGAGGTGCACCACTTGTGCTCCTTGGCTTCATGATCGTCTTGGCATCAGCTATGGAGAACCAACAAGATAGTCCGTTGCTTACCTGTATCCTGCAAGGAAAATCTTTGCAGAAGGACAGCTCTTTGCGATACTTGTCACGGTATTGGCCATGGTCGTTGCACCACCACGGTCTCCTCCAATGAGGTATCCTCCAAGGACAGCAGGATAGGAAATGGGTTGGAAGTTAAGAGACTTGCCCTTTGCATTCAGGGATTTGGTAACCGCTGCTTTGAATCCAGGGCCGACAGAGCCACCTAGATCAGCAGGTTTGTCGTTGGTTCCCCGAGCGTACACAATGTGGACTGCCTTGCAGGTTACCTTGAGGGCCTCGATATCTGTTGGGGCAGCAATGACTGCTGCTGCGCCGAACACAATGGCCAATATGGCAGTGAGCTTCATGGTCAACTAGTCGAGCCGGGAGGGAGGGTTCACCACAGCAGTCCAACAAAAAGACTCTCGTTAATTTTTAATTTATATTGCGGGGATATCATTAGCGTTGCAATTGGTTAGGATCGGTGTTTGATTCGGTCCTCCAGTTCACTTGACACGCATGGGCTCAAGTATTCTTTCGCCGATCTTCCACCTCGAAAGTACAACGATTCGTTGAAAACATACACATATATATTCGTGATAGAGATTGATCAAGTTGATACGCTGGTTACTGGACATGCGACTGAGGTTCGAATAGCTGTTCAACGCGTACGACGCTGTACGACGCCGGCGTTTGACACATCATGGATGGCCTGCCACTGGTTGCTAGAACCTGCCAGATCGAAATCATCACATGTACTGCAGTGCCGGGCCATACAGCGATACACTACGCAATGACTATGATGCTCGAACGGTGTATTACAACAGAGAAGAATGCTAGAGGCTTGATTGATAGATGTAAGAAGCGGATACATACGAGATTGAGAAATGCAAAGATAACGAAAGTATTAAGAGAAAACGAATGCATCGCTCATTGTGAAACCCCTTCAGTGTGACCTGAACGACGCATTTTAGGGCTCATACTTTGTAATACCAATTTCCTCGGGCCTTGGAGACTATATCATCTCACAACGAAATTAGCCATGAACGCAACCTCCACTTTTGCTTCCATCGTTGGGAGTTGACGAAGATTGTGGTGCTGAAGGCTGATTCAACGATAATACCAGGGTTTGAAATCACCAGTTCGATTACCGCCCTTCATCTGAAGCACCTTACTAACATTATCAAGCGCATTTCCAGTCTCAGGACGCCTGGATCGCTCCACAGTACTACTTTGCCGCAGAGAACGTTTTCATCCGTCAACGCGTCACCAGAGACAACTATGGTTTGTAATGGCCAACTTGTGGCAAGCTTCTCCCACTTATGACGAAACTGTCGCGCTCCATCGAGCTTTGCGACGAGAGGGCCAGCGGCCCAGCGCGATTTCCTCGATTCTGATACCGACTCGGAGCTCGATCTCCTCCTCCCGAACCTCTCAGATCGTCTTACCGTTGTGTCACCCACACCGTCAGCCTACGCGTCACAATGAAATACATACCTGTACAAGCACCACTTTCCACAGGAAGAGGTCTTACTTAAAAACACTACTACATTCGGAGAGAGAGTATAAAACATGTCTTTCGCCGCCCTTAAACTTCAATCCATCTCTCGCCCACTCATCCAACGAACACTCGTCTTAAACCAAACTTCAATCAGAATGTCTTCTTCCACCAACTCTTACGGTCAGGGCAAGTCCCATGCTACCGGTGACTCTTTCGTCCCTGGAAAGGTACAGGAGGTGGCACCCAAGGGTCTCGAGGAGAGCCTTCCCGAGGGCGTACGTCCACATCAGTTCCCCTTGCTCATGCCTTGTGACTGACTCGATTTACAGATTCACCCAACTGGCTCCAACCCCAACAACCAGTCTACCAACAGGACTCACGCTCTAAACGACGGGGAGGCTTCGATTGTGCCCAAGAAGATTCAAGAGATCCTACCCGAATCCGTAGAGCGTGCTGTACCCAACTTCATCCACGACACTGGTGACAAGAAATAGATGCCTGTACACCCCCATGGACTATCCCTTTTCTTGGGCTGTACAAATCTGTATCTGTAGAACGAACTGTAAATGTAAACACCCGCAACGACCTTTATGCACCCGGCAAATTCCCTGCCCCCTGGCCATGATTATTGATTGTTCAAACGTCAAGCCAGTGAGAATGCCCGATGGCGGTGGTTGGCGAAAAATGGACGAAACCCGGCGAAAACGCTAATCTGGCGAAGAACGGCGAAATTCACGAATTACCCTCAAGATTGAGCTAGATTCGGCGGATTCGAGCGAACTGTGACTTCAGAAAGACAACGGCAACAGCCAGAAATGTTGCAGAATTCGCCGAATGACGCCAGGCTCAGGCGAGTTTGGGTCAGATTGGGATACCATTCGCACAGCAGCTCTAGGGCTAGGTTTGCTAGAATTGGGCGAAAACTATTCGATTGTGAAATCAATATATTCAATACGCGATTACAGTACAGGCTCTATATAATCAGTATGGGCACTAGGAGGCCACAAGGGGGCATATGGTATACTATACGGATGTCTAGCCGCTTAAAATCAGTGATGAATGGGTTGCAGAGGAGAGGATCACGTACCGCTATCAATCCCGATAAACAAGCAATCCCCACAGGCCCCAGATGCCACCCCAGAACGCTGCATGCCCCTCATGTAGCAAGCTACCTTTGGGTGGGGGCGAGAGAAGTAGGTCGGCTCTATTTGACGGACAAGCCTTGGTCGACTGATCAGTACGAGCCAACAAGGCATTTTGAGATGCTACGTACACCTTGAGAAGCCCGCCTTGAGGGAAAGGTCTTCGAGAGCTAAAATATACATGTTGTCAGTGTGGTACAACACGATCCTTGCTCAATACACGCACCTTCTGCCCTGCACCGGCGTGTCGACGCGCCCTGCCAGACATCAACGGAGGAGATGCTTCAGTATTGAGCTGGGCCAATCTTCAGCGCAAAATAGATCCTGTAGCTCACTATAGCTTTGGATGAGGCGGCGTCGACGAATGCATGTCTGACGCAAGGGCGACAGATGTGGTGGTAGAGAAGGAAGGAAGGGCGATCACCAACTCCTGGTCGAACCGATCCTGGTTCAAATCGTTCCCACGCTTCTTAATTGGACGTAAATCAGCTGTAATTAGGCCAAATAATAATAGTCGACATCTGGGTTCAACACCTTGGTCGGCTGACGCAATCAGATTCACTGGACTTGCGATTCACACAAACGTCCGAGAGACTGAGACTCTGAGGGTCTGATGTCTATCCGCCACTTTTCGGCGAATTCAGGCGAAATCCTCCATTTTGGAACGAAAATCCGCGAAAACCGTCCCAAATTCGCGCGAACAGCGAACGCCGTTTTCACTGGGCGTCAAGTCTCATTGCCTTGAGAACTATTTATACAAAACTTCAAACGAATCTTTTCGAGACAGACGAATGTGCTGCCCTCTGACCGTTCAAGGAGGGAAATATGACTGTATATCGTTACTGCTCTTGTATTCTGTTGGTAACCATTGAAATGCGAATTGGGCATTGAACGCTAGGATAGTTTGGAGTAACATGCACGTAGACCAAGCCATACATGAACGGGGATCAGAGAAAATACATTCAGTCAGCCGTGCCTATCCACACAACCCATTTCGAATAAGCCAGAGATGGTATAGCACCATAAGCAGTCCCACTCTAATCCTGTTCTTCCAAGATGTCACCCACGTTGCTGATGTTCACACCTCCTGATGCACGTTCTCATGCCTCCCAACCTTTGCCGAGGTCCTGGTTGGACTGGCCTTCGATGTGGGGGCTGGAAGGTCCCGAAGCGAGAAACAGAGGAGCGGTGTCGGTGTCGTGGCGTGGCGAAGGTGTGTCCGAGTGTTACCGTCATCTTCAGAACAGGGTAAGACGGACCTATCATAGGAGTTCCAGCATACCACGATGAGCCCATCGCGGTGAGATCATGCGCAAAGTGGCGTTCGTCGTACTCGTTTTACCAACGTTGAGATAACATCAGCAAGGCTTTCCCCTCTTTCTTTGACATGGTGGGGTAAGGAGAGTAGAAGCGATTGATCGATTCAAGCTGCGTAAACACTACCATGGTGAAAGTGAGTGGAGGAGCCCAAGGAGGGTCGTGTCCCAGCACCACCCCTTTGGGAAGCACGTCGAATGTCTTCACTTTGGGCCTCAGTGTCCCAAAAAAAGGAAAGGGAGGGGTCGGTGAGGGGAGGATCTAATAGGAGTAAGTGGTGGGTTTGGTAGCCCATGCGAGGAGATCGCTTACCTCCAGGGTTACCCTCGTCCCTTCAACGAGGTTGGCGACACCTCAGGCACCAAAGGGTAGGACATAAGCGCTGGGCTTTAGATTGTATTGATAAAAATGGCAGCTTTGAATCGATCATTGGATGGTGGACAGGTAAGGCTTTCAAATGGGAGCAGGATGTTGATCGCACAGAGAGGAACCGAGGGAGGAGGGTGGGTGACCCAGAGGTGGGTGCGGGAGTTCAGAGAGTGA